ACAGCTCATTTATGGCTGACGTTACGATGGGCTATTACAACCAATAGCTTATTTATGATTTACGTTATAATGACTTTCTGTCACTAATAGCTTTGCGTTGTAATGGCTTCCTATATTTACCTCTTGCCTTGTCTTCGGATTTGATGGGAAGACATTTTTCATCTCCACTTTCTCCTCTTCATCCACCTTTTGTCTCTTCCTTCTCCGATTCCTCTTTCTTCCTTCTCTTCGTTTTCTTCCTCTTTCTCTTCTTACTATCCTTTTCCTCTCCCTCTACATGATTTCTTACTATAGCCATCCAGACCTCTTTCTTTTTTGTAGGAATCAATGCCATTTATACTCTTTATTTCCCTTCCTCTTTGGCCCGCCATCTTCCCTTCTTTCTCTCCCTGGAATATCCGACTCTAACTACCATTTCCTCTTTCTTTTGGCTCGGCGGGGAACCAGCGACACGGAGACTTTATATTCTCTCCTCCTTGGTTCGTCTCCTTCATTTCCTCTCTTTCCTGTCGTGCAATGATCAACCGTTTCTCTTTCCTCGGGTGCGTTCCTCCCCTTTCTGTCTCTTTCTCCTCCTCTTTCTTTGCCTGTGCTAAGTTTCTAATTTTTATTTTGTTTTTTTTTCCCTTTCGTTTGATGGGAACCTGTATTATGGAGATTTACTTTTGTTTCTCTTTGGATTTTCTTATTTTCTCCTCTTTTTCTTTTTCCTACTCCTCCTTCTCCTCTTCCTCCTCCTCCATCTCCTCTTCCTCCTCCTCCACCTTCTCTCGTCTCGTCCTCCTCCTCTTCTTCTTCTTTTTCTTCCTCCTTCCTCTCCTCTCTCTCCTCCCCTCCTCCTCCTCCTCCCCCTCCTCCTCCCCTCTTTCTCCCCTATAATGTACTTTTAGCGTAACTTCTCCTCCTTCATTTGGTGTGATGGGAACCAATACTCTGTCTTTTGCTTTTTAGTTCGGCTTTTGTTTCCTTTTCCTCTTCCTCTTCCACTCCGTTATTTTTGTTTTCCATATATAGTTATTGTTATATCATCATCATCATTATTATTGTTACTTGTTGTTGTTGTTGCTGTTATTGTTATTATATAATTATTATTATTATTATTATTATTATTATTATTATTATTATTATTATTATTATTATTATTATTATTATTATTATTATTATTATTATACTGTTGTTGTATTATTATTATTATTATTATTATTATTATTATTATTATTATTATTATTATTATTATTATTATTATATTATTATTATTTATTTTATTATTATTATTATTATTATTATTATTATATTATTATTAATCATTATTATTTTTTTCTGTATTATTATTATTATTATTATTTTGTTATTGTTATTATTATTATTATTATTATTATTATTATTATTATTATTATTATTATTTTATTATTATTATTATCATTATTATATTATTATTATTATTATTATTATTATTTGTTATTATTTTATTATTATTATTATTGTTATTATTGTATTATATTATTATTATTATTATTTTATAATGATATAATAATAATAATGATAATAATGATGATGATATTATTATTGTTATTATTGATATAGTTATAATTATTATTGTTATCATTGTTATTATTATCATTATTATTACTATTATTGTTATTGCTATTGTTGTTATTTTTATTATTAGTAATATTATCACTATTGTTATTATTATTGATACTATTATTATTATTATGATTATCATTATTATCCTCATTATTATTGTCATTCTTATTTTTATTATCATTTTTATCATTTTTATCATTATCATTATTTTTTTTATAATTTATCTTTTTTTTCACCTTTACTTGTTCCTCCTCCTCTTCCACTTCCTTCTCCTCCTTCCTCCCCCTTCCTATCTCCCTATCCCCCTCTCTCCCTCCTCTCCCTCCCTCCTCCCTCCCTCCCTCCCTCCTCCCTCCCCTTCCCTCCCCTCCCTTCCTGCTGCCCCCGGCGGCGGCCCCTTCCCTTCCCTCGCCCCCATATCTCTCCCTTCTTCCCTCCCCCCTTTCCTCCTTCCCTTCCCATCCCATCCCATCCCATCCCATCCCATCCCCCCATCCCATCCCATCCCATCTCATCCTTCCTCTTCCTCCCATCCATCCATCCCTCCCCCCTCCTCCCTTCCTCCCATCCCATCCCATCTCATCCCTCCCCCCCTCCCCTGCCTCCTCCCTCCCTCCCTTCCTGCTCCGCCCCGGCGGCGCCCCTTCCTTCCCTCACCCCCATTTCTCTCTTCCCTCCCCTCCCCCTTCCCTCCCCCCTCTTCCTCCCTTCCCTTCCCATCCCATCCCATCCCATCCCATCCCTCCCTCCCCTCCCCTCCCCTCCCCTCCCCTCCCCTCCCCTCCCCCCATCTCCCATCCTCCCGCCTCCCTTCCTCCCATCCCCTCCCTCCCCATCCCTCCCCCTCTTCCCTCCCTCCTTCCTGCTCCCCCCAGCGGCGCCCCTTCCTTCCACGCTGCGCCGTCCCTTCCCCTTTACTACGAAGAGTGTGTCACGTGGTTTACGGTGAGAGTAATATCAAACGTAGGCCCTCGCTCCTTTGTGCTCTTCCTTGGTTTCTTTGTTTTCTTTGTTTTCTTTGTTGTTTCCTGTATTGGGTGTCTTTAGGTGTTTTTGTTTTTTGTTTGTTTGTTTGTTTTTCTTTTTTTTTGGTTTTAGTTCTGGTTGCTTGTTTTAATGTGTGTTCTGTTTATTTTTTTGTTTTCTTGTTTCCATGTTTTCTTTTCTTTCTCGGTTTTGTCTTGTTTCTTTCCTTTTTTTCCCCGTGGTCTCCTTCCTGCTTCTCTCTGTTTTAGCTGAACCTCCTTTCTTCTTCTGTTTCCTCTCTTTCTCCTACACCTTCCTTTCTAAGCGTTCTCTTAGCTCCTTCCGTTTCTTTCTCTCTCTTTCTCACCCCTCAATGCTCCTCCTCTCTCCACCCCCCGTTCCCTTTTTTTTCCTTAACCTTCTCCCCTCTTCCTGCATTCCCTCCGTCTCCCTCTTTCTCTTCCTTCCCTCTTCCTCCCTCAGCCCTCTTCCTTCCTTTCTTAGTCCTTCTCTTTCTATCTCTCTTTCCTTCCCCATCCTCCTCGCTCAATCCCCTTCCCGTCCTTTCTATTCTCTTTCTCCTGCCTCTTTCCCTCTCTTTTACCCGCCCTCCCTCTCCATCCCTCTCTTCCTCCGCTCTTTCATTCTCCATCCTCTCTTTCTCCCTCTTTCTCCGCCTCTTCCCCTCTCTTTCTCCGCCTCTTCCCCCTCTTTCTCCGCCTCTTCATTCTCCATCCCTTCATTCTCCGCCTCTTCCCCTCTCCATCCTTCTCTTCCCCTTCTTTCCCTCTTTCCCGCCTCTTCCCCTCTCCATCATTCTCTTCCTCCACCTCTTCCCCTCTCTTTCCCTCTCATTCTCCGTCTCTTCCCCTCTCCATCCTTCTCTTCCTCCACCTCTTCCACTCTTTTTCTCCGCCTCTTTCCCTCTCCATCCCTCTCTTCCTCCGCCTCTTCCCCTCTCCACCACGCCCCCGCCCACGAGTTCACTTTCCCCCGCCTCACGTCCCTTCGCCTCCTCCGCGTCCTTCCAGGAACCAGTCAACGCAGAGGAATTTTGAAAAGCAAGATGGAGACATAGCAATAAGACAACTCATAAATCAAGCCTGATTGCCAACCTGCCCGCGTGCTTGCGGTTCTATGCTTTTGTACAATAATAGACAAGTAAAAGAAGATTTGATCTAAAATGCGGTATTTGCATAACTCAGTGAATCCACAAAAAGAAAAAATGGGGCGTTTGCATAAGTCAGCGAATCCACAACAACTAAAAAAAAAAAAAAAAAAAATGGGGTGATTGAATGAGATTACTAACCCGTTTTTGGTTTATGGCTGAGGGTCGAAAAAACGGGTGGAATTCCGCGAATATCTTATTCTTGCAGCATCTCCTTCTGAAATGCAACGCGAACTTGGAGGTGTATTAAATTGCTGTTCCATTTTGAGGATGCAAACAAATTGCTCTTCAATGGCTGCTTGTTTTCTCGAGGCTCTTTTATCTCGGACTTTTTTGTTTGTTTTTTATGGGTTGGAGAATATTGTTTCTCTTTTTTTTGCTGGATGTGGATGCACACACACGCATACAAACACACATGCACGCGCGTACGTACGCACGCACGATAGCACACACACACACACACACACACACACACACACACACACACACACACACACACACACACACACACACACACACACACACACACACACACACACACACACACACACACATAATATAGTATTACATTGTATATAATATATGCAGTCAATTTATATTCCAAGCTGATACCACTCGAGGTTCCCGGAACACAAGCGCAAAATGATAAAAGATGTGATTCGAGTTTACAAAATTCTCGCTTTAAATTTTCGCAAAGTCTAAAGGTCTAAACTTCGCGAACTGACATTAGTAAAGATGTCCTCTCGACTTTCCTTTCAGTATTATGTTTCTAAGTTGTAAGATCGACTCGATAATTGCTAAGTTGTCATGTTTTCTTTGACTCTTATTAGAATTTAAAGCCTAATAGATTTATATGTTCATTTATTCATATTGTTTTGTTTGGCCAAGATGCTTATCGCGGAAATATACTCGCTTCGTCCTTGAGGTTGAAGCGAGTGACCTTGGAGCTTTCCCTCGTATCCTGTGGACTTCGAGCGGGGGGAGAGGGGGGCGGGGGGGGGGTGTCCATTTGTACAGAGAAGGCGATAAGTCGAGACTTTTATTAAAGTAAAAAAAAAAAAAGAAAAAAAATCAAACTGTTCATTACTTGAAATTTGTGTTGTATGTCGATTTGTCCTTCTATCTATCTATTTATTTGTGTCTCTAAGTGTATGATTTTTTCTTATAGGGACAATTTAACTATACAAGTGTGATTTTGTCATGTTTCAAGAATAAAAAAACAAAAAAAACATTTAGGTGAATTTATATTATTGTACACTAATCTCAATTTCTTTTGCAG